TTTGTAGGCCTTGAGATAAAAACCGTGACAGGCACAGACACACGGGCACACACACACACACACACACACACACAGACGACCTTGTCAATATGAGTTTTCTGCATTGCACAGCTGCAAAAAAACGCATAAAAACTAAATTACTCCATATTTATCTACAGAACCGGAAGTACAGGCAATAAAATAGCTCGATTAACTATAATTTTTCTCTGACAAGTGTATCATTGGCTTTTTCTTTCGAGAAAGGGCCAATGATAGACAAGCAATTTTGATAGACAAGCACTGCTTACAAGCAATTTTTTTTTGATCTTTTGAAATCTACTTGTGTCAGTTTATAGAATTTAGCATTCTACTTTGCCGGGTCGCCGCAAAAATGCTTCACTCACTGTTTAAAAAAAAATAATATTTTCGTCGGACATTGCTAATCGTTCATCAACTAAGTTCGTTCGCATCTTAGTTTGAATGAATTCCTCGACAGCTTCCTGGCTAAGTTATGAGCTGATTTCGCAGCAAACCTTCGATAAGTGAGGTAAGTATAGTAAGCAATTATAAACGGCGCCGTTGTTACTGGCGTATATAAATCCATCGTTATAATTCGCGTTAATTTTTCCACATCTTGAGTCATGCGCTGATCGCTGCAAACAGTTGTTTTTGCTGTGATCAATAAAAATCGCCCAAACAATCCGTGTAGAGATTCAGTATAAGTTATGTTATCGTGGTGCATTTACAAGCCGAACTCATTAATATCTGAGTTTAAGTCATTCGCAGCTTACGCCATTACTTGCGTTACTTTTTTTGGGATTTTCCGAGTGGCTCCCCTTGCCTTTCTTGATGGAAGGAAAGCCTTCCGAATACTGCGAAAACCATTTAATAATGGAGTGGCGTTCATCGGCTGCCAACACACCGTTGCTGATATTTCAGAAAAATCACTTTCGTATCTAAGAAATCAGTCTCCATTTGCTCCTTTTGTGTAAATCCGGCTTATATTGCTGACAGAAACAATCCAAAAATATAGGGATATTTTAACTTACGGATTGTCGATTTGGCTGTTGCTCGAAGTCAGCTTATAATAAACGAAATTCGTAAAATAGTGCTTATGCAATGTTTTGCAGCAAACTTCGCGACATTTCAGTGAAAATATTGAAGTTAAATATTTACTAATAGCAAGTATCTGGAATTAAACCATCTGTTAGACTGAGGTGAGAATCTACTTCTGTATTAATATGCTTCCAAGATCAGACAACATGTGTAGTATGTAACATTATGGTTTTGAAGTGAAAATAAACACATTTAAGGCAGTGTTCCCGAGTTGAAAGCCGAGACAAAAACGCACTCGGACACACAGATACACACACATATGCACTACACACTACACATACACACACATGCACATACATACGTACGCAAATACACACACGTACACAAACAAACAAACACACACAAGCAAAGGCTTGACTTTTGTGCAGCTGTTACACAGTACAAAGCAAGCATAAAAATCATCAATTGTGTACTAGGTGTTTGCAGTTCGTGAATTTGCAGGATTAGCTTGAAAAACAAGCAACAGGAGGCACTTTATTCTGGCTTATCAATCGTTTAATCTGTCAAATGATCAGTGACTGGAACACTCCATCAGCATTACAAATATCAGATTTTCACACCACTTGAAATCGCTTCCAAGACGAACTGATCAAATAAGAAAGCAGCATCTAACCGTTGCTTTTGATAAAATGAGCAGCGCTGACTTGATGATCAGATAATGGAATTGCGGTACATTTCGCTCACCCAAAGCAACAAAAAATTCACTGGGTAAAATTCCACAGTAGTATGTCGCTACTTGATCTGCAAATGATCAATATAAGCAAAAACAATTCCTATATTATTTATCGGCAAAATTATTTCTTCGCATATCTTTGAACTCTGGAAACCTCATTGGTAGCCGGATAAACAGTTTTGAAATACTGCGGGATACAAATCTTGGCGACTCTGAACATCCCGAACAAAACTTTCCGTAGGGAGACCATACGTCCAGGATT